TGTTTTTGAAGAGTTTAAACTGACAGTCAGATTATACAACTGTATCGGCCAAAAGATTTATACCTATGACCCTGATAAGAAGAACAAAAACATAACCGTTTTGTTTGGATTGATTAAGGGCAACCACATTTACACAATGAATGACAACATCAACAGCATAGCACAAAGGGATTTTGAAAAAGATATGAAACTAAATGCTTCTACTGACTTTCATTTAAATAGCAAAGAGAAGCCTGTTAAGTATGATTTTTTCAATGGCATTGATGACATAATGGGTATAGTTGAAGCTAATGAAGATACTGAAGAAGAAGTGAATTTGGTGAGTGGCAAGAATTTGAATACAATTTTTTGTGAGTTCAAGAGGGCAAAGTATGAGCCTAAAATCATAATGGGAGCAGGTGGCAATGTAGCATCACTCAAGGTAAAGTTTAATGGGTTGATTTTGAACATCAGAAGTCAAACTTTGATAGACTGCGCTGTGGATACTTCTATTGGTAGTAGCGGTGCTGATATGTTTAACAAAGTAAATGAGGCATTTTTCAATTTTAATAAAGGTATGTTCAATCCTAATCACAAGTCATATTATAACAATGATGACTTGAAAATATTTTCAATAGCACATAGCATAGCTCCCAGCGGATATTTTGAAAGCATCATTGAAGGAAAGGATACACACATTGAATTAGATAGGAGGAAAGCCTACACTAAATCTACAATGGATGTTTTAGAAGTGCCTTGTTTTTCTGAATTTGATATTTGGAAAAAGTATGATTATTCAAAGAATGATTTTAACAAGATGAATGCTTTAACATTATATCTTGTTAAAAGCAAAGTTAGAAATCTATTTTTCAACAGGACTTATAACTTGATTTACGGTAAGTTTTTGAAAAATATTATGATGATGTTGAAGTCATTTATTACAAAATTCCATCTAATACATACAAAGTTAATTACAAAAAAATAGTTGATGAACTTTGGAAATTGAAACTGGATGAGGATGAGGAGAAAGATAAGTTGAAGAAAACAATGATTGCTTGTATCAACATTGGCTTATTGGAAAAACAAACTAACAATGCTAAAAAGTTCATAGTGTTTTCAAAAATGGTTGATGCCTTTTACTATCAAGAAAAATACGGTGGTGATATAAGTATCATTACTGAAACTAAATGGGATGGTGAAGTGTATGATGATGATGATGAGGATTGCTTGATTGAATTTGATGATAAAGGCAATGTCATTGAGCCTGAAAATGATGAGAAAGAACTTGCTAAAATTGTGGATGAGTGTAAGCATTATGTGCTTAACATATCTGACACAAAAACTTTAATGAATGGATATAAATATGTGAAAGAACTGATTTTACAACATCATAATTTTGATATGAATGAGGCTTATGAAACACTTATGAGGGATAATGTAATGGTGTATTCAGTTAAAACTGATGCCTTTGTGATTGATAAATGTAATCTGGGTAAGGCAAAGGAGGTGTTAAAATTTGGTAGTGAGATTGGAGACTGGCGGTGGTCTGATAAATTCAATTTTCCCAGCAAGGCATTTTGTAAGCAACCCAGTATTCTATGTGATATAACTGAATATGAAAATAAAACGGGTGATGTCAAGGATGAATGGAACACTGATGAAATCATTGATGAGCATATTTTGAATAATAAAAGGTTGCTTATCCAAGCAGCGTTTGCAGGTTCAGGCAAGAGTTATATATGTAAGCATATGAACACCAGAAATTATAAAGTGTTGTTTGTTGTTCATAGCAATGAGTTAGGACAACAATGCAGTTGTGAATGGGCGACCATCAATAAGTTTTTTAGTATTTCTTTTGGAGATGAGAGGCTTACAAAGTTTGATTATTCAGTTTATGATGTCATAGTGTTTGATGAGATATATTTTCATAATGTAGGCAAGTGGGCTTTAATATGGGACTTCTGTAAGAACAACCCTGATAAAATAATAGTGGCAACTGGAGACACTAACCAGTTGAAAAACCCAGAGAGGGTAAGCAATGTAATGTCATTTGAGAAATATGCTAATCATTGTATTAATTTGATTTTTGAAAATAATATTATGCTATATGAATGTAAGAGATTGAAGACTGAAGAAGATAGACACAAATTAAGAGATGTCAAAAGAATGATTTTTGAAGGCACACCTTTTAGAGAAATCATTGATAACTATTTGAAATGGACTGACAAGATAGAAATGTATGATAATAATATTGCTTATACGAATAACACCTGTAAAATGGTGTCAAGCAAAATCAGATAAATGAAAAATATAACTGAAGAATATGTTATTGGTGAGGAAGTTATATGCCGAAAATATATCAAGACTATGGGCACAAAATTTAATGTTAATTTTAAATTTAGGATTTCAAATATCGTTGGGGATATTGTTGTTTTACAAAATGTGGCAACAAATGAGAAGCAAAACATAAAAATAGAATTGTTGAGAAAACATTTTATATATGCTTACTGCTACACCGCACATTCAAAGCAAGGTTGTAGCGTTGATGGTGATATAGTCATATATGATTGGAATGAATGGTATGTTAGTAAGAATTGGTTTTTTACAGCCCTCACAAGGGCTACAGACTTCAACAAAATTAAGTTTTTCAAATATAATAAAGGTGAAGAAAGTAAATCTAAAAGGATAGTAGAGCAGTATTTTGAGAGAAAGGTTTTAAATTACATTGAGCAAGACAAAAAAGCAGGTAGAGATGTAGAAGGAAATGAGTATGTTGATGTAGATTTTTTGATGAACCTGATGAATACCCAGTGTGAAAATTGTAATGAACCATTGGTGATAGATTTTGAAGATGGCAAGGTTTCATCAAATATTAGCTGTCAAAGGGTTAATTGTTGTGAAGCTCACTTTAAAGATAACTGTAAAGGTTATTGTGTGTCTTGTAATTGCGCTTTTTCAAATAAGATATTAATGTAAAATGGTTTTAAAGAAAAGATAAGTTAAGATAAGTAGGGATATGAGCAGATTTATAAAATAGTAGATGTAGGATATAATAAAACCTATTATGGTTCTACTTGCGAAAGTTTGAGCCAAAGAATGACAAGACATAGAGCCAAATACACAGCATACTTGAAAGGTAATATTACAAATACACGTTCTTTTGATTTGTTTGATGAATTCGGTATAGAGAATTGTAAAATTGAATTAGTAGAAAACTACCCTTGTAATAGCAAGGAAGAGTTAAGACGGAGGGAGGGCTACTATATCAAAAACAATGACTGTATCAATAAATGTGTGCCGTGTAGAACACCAGCAGAATATTACCAAGATGAAAATGAATATTGTAGGTTCAGAAATGACCTTTACAAAACTTCGTAAAGAAGAAGAACAGGAATATCATAGAAGACGGTTTCAAGAAAGAAAACACATCTTGCTGGAAAAACATTTGTGTGGTTGTGGCAAATATTACACATTTCAACACAAAAAAAGACACGAGAAATCACAAAAGCACCAAGACTGGTTAAATAAACAAAATGAAGAATACATGATATAATTTTAATATTTATTATATCATCTATTCTATAATGAGTGAAAGTAAGAAACAACAAATTATTCGTGATATTTATTTTGATAAAGCGGGCTATGGTTCAAGAAAGACCACATTAGAAGATGCTAAAAAGAAAGAACCTACAATCAAGAAAGAGGATGTTGAACAATTCTTTAGGAAAAATGTTGAGATAAAAGCAAAGCCAAGAGGGCATAATTCCTTTGTAGCACCTCATAACAATCATACTTATCAAATTGATTTGTTTTTTATGGGGTATTTGATATTTTATGGGGTATTATGATGTAGCACCTACAAAAATAGAGAGGAGGATTGGTTTGTATTGATGTTTTAAGCAAGTATGCCGTAGTAATTCCAATTGTAAGCAAGAATGAACCTGATGTTATTGAGGCAACTAAAGAGGCATTAAAAAGAATGGGAAAGAAACCAAAAATCATATACAGTGATGATGAAAAAGCAATAGCAGGAGGTGATTTTAAAGACTATATTGAAGGTGAGAATATTGAGTTGTATAGGACAAGGGGTCATCCTGCTTTTGCTGAAAGATTTATACGCACCTACAAAGATATACTTTTTAAAAGAGTTGAAGCAGATGAAAAGAAAGGAAGAGAACATATCAAATGGACAGACTACAATTTAGAAATAATGCTTACATACAATGATAAAATGAAACACTCCGCTACAGGTATGACACCTAATCAAGCAAGGAAAGAGAAAAATGAATTTAGGGCAATGCTGAATGTAGCATCAAAGGCAAAGAAAGAACGAATATACCCAACATTAGAGGTGGGAGACAAAGTAAAGATAATGAGAAAGAAAGCAATTACAGAGAAAGAAAGAACTTCCCACTGGCTGAAAGGTTATTATGTTGTGCAAGAGATTGCAGAAAAGTTGAACCAAAAATATTACAAATTGACTGATTACCCAAGATTGTTGATGAGGCACGAACTTTTAAAGATTTAGTGTTTTTAGAAAGCCTTAAGCATTTGTTTTTCTTACTTATGCCTATACTTGATGCAACCATGAGATGGTTGATTTGATGTGCTCTTTTGGTTTCGGGGTTTTGTGTTTTGCCCTTCATTTGTTTTTCCCCACGAATTTGTGTTTGGCACGTTTGGGTCATTGGCTGGGATTACTCTATGTTCCTTTGTCCTTCTGCCCCGCCTTGGCTTCGTCATCAATCTCTTCTTCATCCTGTTGTCGGGGCGCTCAGCTGTTGAGAATGTCAGTTGGAGGTTTGACGCCACATGTTCTTGGAGAGCTTGACCTTGGAATTTGTTTCAATTTGAGCACCTTTGACATTCTCAATTGGAAAGCTACAGAAATTAGCTCTTTCAGTTTGCGCTTGGAATTTTGTGTCATTCTTCAGCATCTTTATGTTCTTCCGTAGCGTTTTTGCGAGATTTTCCTCAAGCCACTCAGGGACGCTTTTTAGCTCAGGGGTGTCGGCATTGCCATGGCGCTCAAATCCGGTGTATCCGCTTGCCTCATCCTTGCATTGTGCGTGAGCTGCGAGAACCTCGGCAAGGAGACTGAGAAAAGCCGAGCGCCTTTCCTCCCCAGGTCCGAGAACCTTGGCAAGGAGACTGAGAAGAGTGGAGGATTCTGGTTCCCTCGGTCCGAGAACCTCGGCAAGGAGACTGAGAAGAGCGGAGTGCCCTTCCTCCCTCGGTCCGAGAACCTTGGCAAGGAGACTGAGAAGAGTGGAGGATTCTGGTTCCCTCGGTCCGAGAACCTCGGCAAGGAGACTGAGAAAAGCCGAGCGCCTTTCCTCCCCAGGTCCGAGAACCTTGGCAAGGAGACTGAGAAGAGTGGAGGATTCTGGTTCCCTCGGTCCGAGAACCTCGGCAAGGAGACTGAGAAGAGCGGAGTGCCCTTCTGGCCTCGGTCCGAGAACCTCGGCAAGGAGACTGAGAAGAGCGGAGTGCCCTTCCTCCCTCGGTCCGAGAACATTGGCAAGGAGACTGAGAAGAGTGGAGGATTCTGGTTCCCTCGGTCCGAGAACCTCGGCAAGGAGACTGAGAAAAGCGGAGCGCCTTTCCTCCCTCGGTCCGAGAACCCTGGCAAGGAGACTGAGAAGAGTGGAGTGCCCTTCCTCCCTCGGTCCGAGAACCTTGGCAAGGAGACTGAGAAGAGTGGAGGATTCTGGTTCCCATGAGATGGCATGATGATCATTCACGGGCTTGCTTCGCCAACAGGGCGACTTGCAAAACAGTGCTTGCTTCGCCACTAGGGCGACTTGCAAAACACTGCTCTTGGCAGATGCTTTATGATTGACAAGGTCTGTATCAAGGTTTCAGGGTGTCAAATAGGAATAGGACATTGCTTCAATAGAGCATTCATGCCAGTGAGCCTTCGCAAGCTTGACATTCAGTGCATTCATGCCTGATACAAAGACATACCCTTCCAAAAACTTGAGAAGACGGGCACCAACAAGTCTGGGACGCACACCACACAAATCTTTTTCGCTCCATTTCGCCCCAAAAGTTTGGATTGCTGTGCTTCACACCGTGCTGAGGTTAAGAAGACGTGGTCATCAACAAGTTCATGAAGGGCGGTTTGGGCATGGCAATTGCGGATTAAAAGAGATTTGAGATTGAGAAAGATGTGATGCTGTTGTGATATGCTAGTTTGTATGTATGCTGGTATGTATGCTGGTATGTATGCTGGGGGTTGGGATAGTATATTGGCTGGAGGCTGAGGCTTCCCCTATAGGGGGAGACTGTGGTAATTAATCCCATAATCTTCATAATAAATGATTATGAGAATTATGTTGATTATCTCCATAAATTTGAAGTGATGATTATGAAATTCAAACTCAAAATTACAAGAGGCACACCAACACTTTGAAGCATGAGGAGAATTTGAAGAATAATGATAGTTAAAATTCATTTTATAAAAGTGAAATTGTCTTTTGTTTTGGTTTGTTGTTATGGTTTTTGGTATAGTCTATTTTATAATCTAGTGTATTGCTTATGTTGTTTTGTTTTTTTCTTTTTGTTGTTTGTTGTTATGATTTTATTGTTGATTATGTTATTATCTATATAAGGTAAAGCAATCCCATCTTTTTGTTTCGACCGTTTAAAATCTATTGTATTGTAGGGGGTGCGGTCTGTAAAAAGACGGGATTGCCTCATGCTAACTAACTGGACGTAAAAACCAAAAAAGGTCCAGGTCAGTTTGCATTTGCATACAATATATATATATATATATACACAATATCATACAGTTGTAGCCGAGCCCTTAACACTTAGAACTGAGTTATCGAAGGAAGTTTAGAAGTCAAACTTCCGACAATATGGACAGATGAAAAGCAGAGTAGGGAAGAGGCAGAGAGAAGAGAAAGATTAGAAGAAAGAAGAGTAGAAGAGAAAGAGTAAGAAGAAAGAAGATGGAGATGCGCGAAAAGGTAGGAAAGTCACGAAACACTGTGTTTTTCCAATGATTTGGGGCTCCGGAGGGTCGAAAAGTAGGCTCGCTAAAGCGGCGGGTGCGGAGCCAGCTGGCCAGATGAGAGATGAAAAATTGCACGCCGTTGTGGCGCGAAGCACATTTCCAAGTCAAAATGTCCAAAGCACACCAGGTTCGGACCACTTTTGGAAGTTGAGATGTCGAAAAAGTGCACGCCGTTGTGGCGCGAAGCACATTTCCAAGTCAAAATGTCCAAAACACACCAGGTTCGGACCACTTTTGGAAGTTGAGATGTCGAAAAAGTGCACGCCGTTGTGGCGCGAAGCACATTTCCAAGTCAAAATGTCCAAAAACACCTCAGCTTCGGACCACTTTTGGAAGTTGAGATGTCGAAAAAGTGCACGCGGTTGTGGCGCGAAGCACATTTCCAAGTCAAAATGTACAAAACACACCAGGTTCGGACCACGTTTGGAAGTTCAGATGTCGAAAAGTGCACGCCGTTGTGGCGCGAAGCACATTTCCAAGTCAAAATGTACACAACACTACATGTTCGCGCCACTTTTGGAGGTTCGGATGTCGAAAAAGTGCACACCGTTGTGGCGCGAAGGACATTTCGAAGTCAAAATGTTAAAAGCACCAGGGGTTCGGACCACTTTTGGAGGTTCGGATGTCGAAAAAGTGCACGCCGTTGTGGCGCGAAGGACATTTCGAAGTCAAAATGTTAAAAGCACTAGGGGTTCGGACCACTTTTGGAGGTTCAGATGTCGCTTCGCTTCAATACACTACACTACAGGACATTACACTACACTACACTCCAGTACACTACATTACACTACACTACGCTCCGGTACACTTCACTACACTAAATTACACTACACCACACTACATTACACTGAATGACACTGCAACACAGATAGACAGGTAGACAGCTAGACAGATGAAAGGGAGAGATAGATAGGTAGGTAGATAGATAGATAGATAGGTAATTAGATGAAAGAGAGAGATAGATAGATCGATAGATAGATAGATCGATAGATAGATAGATACATAGAAAATAGATAGGTAGGTAGGTAGATAGTCAGAGAAAGAGAAAGAAAGAGTGAGAGAGATCAAGCACCTTTCAGTCCATCAGTGGCTTCGCTCTGCCATCTCTGATTCACAACAAGCAAGCTCTCCTATAGGTTTCCTATTTTTGAAACTTCCGCCACCGCCTTGTGCGGTACTACTGGTAACTCGTAATCTCATTTAAGTGACATGTAGCCTTGCAGGAGTTATTTCATCCCATTTATAACAACTAGTTGGGCTATAGCCCGATGATCCTCCCAGTGCTCGATGAACTGCCGGTGATGCTGTGATTTCAAGTCAAGCCGTATTGCTTACCCAAAAAGGTGTCATCAAACGTAGCAAGCTGGGAAATTCCCTAGACATGGAGGTTTTAATGGGAAAATCAACAAGAAAAGGTGGATTGTTCAGTGCCACATTTGATTACTTGAGGGTAAATCCCACTTCGGGGTGTTCTTTTTTCGTTCCTCAAGTTTCCAGTGATTCCAGTGAAACTCAAGTGTAAAGCATCTTAAAATATCTTATAACATGTTATACAAAAGGACAACTTACAAAATAGAGGATACACCATTTTTTGTTTATTATTAATAGTAGCCCTATTTCATAGCCCAGCTTCACATATATCCTGGTTGTATACCCCTTTATTTATATGTATAATTTATATATATATGGTACATATTATATACATACATGGTACATATATAACTATTGATAGCTGATAGCTATCCCACCTTTATCATCCTTAGCTGCGGTTGCCGTAGGCGAGCTGAGCTGCGCTCGCTCTTCCGAGCTGCCGTGGTGGACGTGACGCCCAAGGGAGGCAGTGGCTTCTTGAGAGCCCGGACCACCAGCAAGGCGAGGACGACCAGCAGTGGCGAAACTGAAACCGAAAAGAGGTTGATATATCTAAACTATCATTAGGGGTCATTATGTTATATGGGGGTTAAACTATCAGCAAACTATCAGCAAACTATCATGGGTGTTTAGGTCTAAACTATCATGTTTGACTATCATTGCTAGGGGTGAAATAGCATGTTGGAGCTTTTTGTCATATGGGGATATAAGGATATAGTATGATATAGTTCATGATATTTGACGATTGGTTTCATCGCGGGAGACAATCTGCTTTATGTTGGGAATTGTTTATCATCCGTGAATTGGGAATCCCGTTCTTGACCAATGAGTACTAAATGCAATGACGGAGGGCTTTGAGCTCAAGTGGGCTGTGGTTTGTTTTCGATAAATCACGGTTTTGGGGATCTGCTTACAGTATATCAGTATCTGGTTGGTGGTTTGGAACAGCCTCTGGCCCAAAACCGTACCAGCTCGGGAGGCCGTGCAGGCAAATCTTTGGGTGGTTTGTGGTAGCCATGAAAGGTCTAACAGGACCAGGTGCCGAGGACTTACAGTACTTGTACAACCCTGACTGGACCAGGTTGACTTCAGGGAGCCGAGTTTCTGTGGTCGTTACCGACCTAATCTGGCAAGGTTTGACTTGTGTTGGAAAACTGTGCCCGGGTGAGCAAAGAGTTAGGGTGGTAGGTTGTTTCCCCCCGGAAGCTTGTGGATTCCCTACCCTTGCCCTGTTGGATGCCGTGTTTTTGGACTTCTCTGGCCTTGTGGATTTGTCCGTTGATGAGTCTTCTTGTGTCCTTTGCCATGGTCCGCCCCAGGTCTCACATGTCCAAAGTTACATTGAGGTTTGTTCTGGTGCTGGTTTTTCTGGCCTGGGGTTCAAGCATGCCGGTTTTCACCCAAAATGTGCTGTTGAGTTGCAACCAAAATTGGCAGAGCTTCACCGCAGCATTCACCCAGGGATCCCAGTCATCAATGCAGACATCACGGATGATCGAACGGCAGCCTTGATTCACCAGGTGTGCCCCGAGCCCACTACGCTCATGGCTGGAATAGCCTGCCAGCCTTACAGCCCAGCTGGAAAGCAAGATGGAGGCAGTGATGTTCGAGCAGCCACACTCCCTGCAACACTGAGGTTGGCAATTTTTTTGCAGTCTCCCACCCTGGTGTTAGAATGCGTAGCGGCAGCAAGGTCAAATGAATACGTGCTTGCACACATCCGTGAGTTGGAGTCTCAAATGGGCTTTCATGTTGTGGACTGTTGCGTGAAGTTGGAAGAGGTTTGGTCTGGTATGAGGTACCGATGGTGGTTGATTGCCACACACCGCAGACTTGGCCGTGTCCTTGTCCCTTCCTTCCCAAAAGGGTCACCGTTGGTTGTACGGGATCTTATGCCTTACACCAAAAGATGGAGTGATGAAGATGAAGCCCAACTTGCCTTGACCCAACAAGAAATCGAAAGGTTCCAACTTGGGGGTGAACCCTTGCGGAAATATGTCGTCCAACCGGACCAAAAGCTGCCAACAGCCTTGCATAGTTGGGGAGGACAGACTCAGGCATGCGCTTGTGAATGCCGGCCACAGGGTTTTGCTGACCTCACCCTGCAATCACGTGGACTTTTTGCTCAGCTGCTTCAGATCCCTGGGTTAAGCAATCAGATCAAGTACCGTCACATGCATGCCTGTGAAGTTGCCATTCATAATGGGGTCCCACCACTTCAACAATGGAGCAGTGATGCCAGACTGAATCTGTGCGCAGTTGGGCAATTGGCCAGTCCGTTTCATGCAACATGGGTAGCAACAGCGATCCTCGCCCATGTTCAAAAGCTTTTTGGACATGGCGCCCCATTGGAACCACTCCGGTCACTGAGCAGTTTAAAACATGTGGTTTTGCAGCAGAGCAAGGAACTTTTCCCTGCTATCCCACGTGCTGTGCAGTTGCCAACGGAGGAACCCAGTGCACCACTTGGTTTTGCATCGCCAAGTGGAAAACCTCAGGTTGAAGTCTCTGACAATGTCGGAGCCACAGTGACAATCATGCACCAGCCTGATAGCACAGTTCGACACTTGCTGGAAGCCGAATGTGACTTGATGCATGTGCCTTTGTATGAAGTCCAGGTGTGTACTATGGATGGTGTTGCTTTGCCAGCTGATGCCCGCCTTTGTGAACACAAAGCCATCCTGTTGAAAAAGCATGGATTCGAACCCCCGACATGTGCCCAGCCTGACCCGGAAGTGCCTTTCATGCCTGAAGACATGGTCCCATACCAACCTGAAGATGTGGTTGCCATGAATGCACCTGCAGGTGATGTTGCCACACAAGTTGATTCCGATGTTGACATGTCATGCCATGACCATGTTGCCCCTATGCCCATTGAACATGTCAGTGTGCCCACCACCGTGCCGCCTACTGTTCTCAGTGATGAATCAGTACAGGCACTGCTGCAGTTGTCCACAAGTGGTTTGCTGGCCATGGTACCTCCACTAGCGCCTGATGTCAAGCTGTGTGCCACCCTGAGGTCCCAACGAGTCTCTTGGACTTTCCGAGACCAATTGTTGACCAACCAGGCGCATGTTTGGGCGGATGATGAATTACTGTGGCACATCCAGGCCACTGTGATGTATGCCCAAAAAAACTGCAGTTCTCCTTGACCCTTTCCTTGCAACAGCTTGGACTCAACATGGGACCGTGGAATCTGTTCCCGCATGGATCAACACAGTCGCAGAACCAACTGACCGGTTTGTTTCAGCCGTCCTGATGAATGGTCACTGGACCCCCGTTGTCTGGGTTTTGAAGTCAGCCTGCCTTGAAGTGCACACATACGACCATGATGATGTGGACTTGAATGGGTTGAATCGGCTTCATGGACTTTTATGCCAAGCCTTTGATGTCCCGTCTTTCACCGTGTCTTGCCTGCGTTGGTCTTTCGGTGTCAACATGTGTGGAGCCGCAGCAGTTGCTTTCCTGATTGCCCAGCTCAACTACTCAGCTTTGCCCCGAAATGATGAGGAACTGAACGAGCTTAGCACTCAACTTCGAGCCCAGTTTCGAGTCTCCCACATGTCTGCAGTCAGTGTCCGTCGGCCGTGGTGTTGGGGAGCTGGAAGTGAGGAGTTGCCTACACTCCTTGCCACGCTCCTGCAGTTTCATGGTGTGCCTCAGACACTGTCCAAGCAACGTGCCAAACTCGTCATGCAGAGCCTTGGAAAAGACCAAGTCAGAACAGCACTTGAAGGAGTTTCTCCGTGGAAAAGCCTCAAGCAACTTGCCAACCAGCACAAGCCGGTCATTCAGTTGGTCATGCCGGATGAACTTGCCATGGTTGTCCAAGACCGCAAGAAGAAGCCAGCCACCAAAGACAAGCAGTCTCGCCCGAGACAAGTGCCAGCCAAGCCAGTTGACCTTGATCCAAGCAGGTTGCAACTTGAGCCGGATACGTTCTGTACAACACCTGATGTCATGATGATGCAGATCCCACTGACACAAGTTGGACCTCTTGCCACCGGTGTTGCATTGGTGACCCATGCCGAAGCCATGCCTTTCCTACAGGCAAACCAAGTGCTGACAGCTAAGGGACTTGCACTGCTCATTGTCAATGGCCCAGGTGACATCCGCACAGACCTGCAATGGAGCTCAATCCGGTTTGCCGCCAGATGCGCAGTCAACCAACAACCAGTGTTGCTGCATGGGATTTTGGTCCAGCTAGGTGGCACTTTAGTGAGCCCCTACAGCCGTCCAGTCAATGTCTCTGTCCCTGATGTTCCGGTCACCTGTGCACGTGTCACGATTTTCCAAGACCAATGGCAGCAAGATTGGGAAACCTTTGCGGCCCACCCAGTCAAAGAAGCACTGCAGCATATCATGCCCCTCCAAACATGCCATGCCGACAACTGTTCATGTGACAAATGGCACAAGGACCCCATGGACCATGCTCAGGATGTTGTTCTTGATGTTTTCAAGCGACAGTTTTTCTCTGATAGTGGTCGCCCTGTCCGAGCTCACCAAGCCAGCCACTTCAGTTTTCAGGTCAGGTACTTGAAACAGCAGGAACCAGCAGTGTTGAAATGCAGTGGGGTTGCAGGTTTGTACATAGAGCCACGCATGCCAGACTCATCCGCACCATCGGATGAATTCCAAGTTGTTTGGATGCCCCAGGTTGGACTCAAAGAAGCTCAGCACACCATGCAGTGCGAACCGTTGAGCACTGGACTTGCACGTTCTGGTCGGAGGTATGGGATCAGAGTTCAGGCCAAGCATTTTCAGGCAGTTTACGCAAAACTGAAGCCCAACAGCCAGTTCCTTGCACCAGGTGAGAGGCTCAACTGGCACTGTGGCCCATGGCCTTTTGGGAGTGACCGTCGAATGCTGGCCAAGGTGTTCGCAGAAATGCAATGGCAAGCCAGGCCTTTACAGCCGGCCATGACTGTTGAAGGTGGGATCATGTGGCTTGTTCAATCGGTGACAGAACCACCAAAAGCTGTTTGGACGTTGCAGCATGGCCCAGTTGTTGTGTCACGATGTGAATCCATGTCTGCCAACATGCTCCAGTCCAGTCATGTCATTGGTCCCAAATCCACCGTCGAGCTTTGCAGCACTCATGCCGACACTGACCCCTGGCTCACCCATGATCCATGGCAAGGAGCTCTGAAGCATGTGCCGCTCCAGCAGGCAACTCCGGTCGTGACCCAGATACAGGAAATGGAGGAGCGATTGGAAAAGTCAATTCTTGCCAAGTTGCCTTGTGAACGCATGGAAACTGACGAAGACGAAAGCCGTGTGCAGCAACTCGAGCTTCAGCTCCAGCAGTTGGCCAATCGCCAACAAACCTTAGAGGGCCTTGTCAATGAACACCACCACCAGCACACCGCCCAAGTTCAGACCCTCCAAACCCAGATGATGTCCCAAATGGAAGTTCAACGCAGCCAAATGAAAGGAATGTTTGACGACCAAATGAGTCGGTTAGAGGCCATTTTGGCAAAGAAAGGCAGATATGACTGAAAGCCTGGCAGCCGCAGGACCAAACCATCGCCTGTGGTGAGCCATCCCTTTGTCATGCCAAAAGTTTTTGCAAAGTTTTGGGTCCTCATGCTGTGCTTTTTCGGGCTCTCCTGTCGCATTGGAGAGGCTGACACACCAGGGCCAACCTGTTCCGACCAAACATGGTCATTGGGGATCTGTAACCCAAGTGGGTTAATGGGGAAAAGCACGCTGTTAGCGGATGTCAACACCGACATCATTGCTGTGAGCGAGACGCACTTGACCGCCGTCTCAGGCTCAGTTCTCAGGTCTAGCCTTCGAACACGAAGTGCCTATAAGTATGTAATCACTGGCTCACCCATGGAGCCAAGAACCACCACGAGCGCCGCCGGGCAATATGCTGGCGTAGCCGTTGTTTCCAAGCAGCCGTCAAGAGCACTTTGCTCAGCCTGGCCAACTGACATGTATGCCACCGGGCGAGTCCAGCTTGTAGGGTCCCTCATGGGTCAGCAATGGGTGTCAGGTGCAGTTGTTTATGGATACCCTCAGAGCAAGCTCCACACCAATGCAACTGCCAAGACCGCTGGTATCTTAGCGCATGTTTTTGAACAGTTGACCAAGTTTGCACAAGGCCCCAGGTACATGGCAGGTGACTGGAATTGAAGCCATGGGCATGGCATTTGGGGGTTTCATTTGCATTTGGGGGCTTCATAGTTGGCTACCCTCTGTTGAATGCTATGGGTTTCTTCTTGCCACCTTCTGTGGCACAGACTGCTCCTATTTGCTGCAATGCAAAGGGGCTTCATAGTTGGGTTACCCTCTGTTGAATACTATGGGTTTCGTCTTGCCACCTTCTGTGGCACGGACTGCTCCTATTTGCTGCAATGCAAAGGGGCTTCATAGTTGGCTACCTCTGTTGAATACTATGGATTTCTTCTTGCCACCTGCTGTGGCACTGACTGCTCCTATCTGCTGCAATGCAAAAGGGCTTCATAGTTGGCTACCCTCTGTTGAATGCTATGAATTTCATCTTGCTATCAGCTGCAGTAGTGCTCTGATGTCAGAACCATTCTTCTTCAAATAAAGCAAATCCAAATCGATGTTTCAAATTTATCAGCACTGTCTTTCAAATACCAATTTTTTTCAGTGTTCAAAAACATTTTGCGCCTGCTCAAATGTTTTTAAACGAGCAGGGGAAAATATTGCAAAAACATTCAATTTTCACGAACTGACTGGCAGAATCTGCTCTGCATTCAGACTTGAGGCATCAACTAGGGAACTTTCAACAACCTTATGCTGAAACGTCATCATAGTCGAGATATTTTCGTTTGCTGAAACATTCGGTTGGTCATATGACTGTGTGTGATCACCCGTGGCGCCTTGTTGCTTCCATTGCTTCCTTTCAGAGGGAAGCTTTCAATTGTGTCTGATGTTCTCTTCCTCCACTTCTGGATCCTTCTTCGTGGGCAACAGGCAGGCCAATTTATCAACTGACTATATAATCAGACTTTGCATCAATGATTCAGCAGCTTTAGCTTTGCATGTTCGATGATGAAATATGGTCGTTTATCACCTAATGACAGGATCGCACTTTGGATGGACGAGTATGAGGCAGGGTAAGTTTCAGTTGTGAGACTGAACGCTGCAGTCCTTTGGAATTGTTTCTGTCTGTTTCTTTCTAAGCATTTGACTGCTCAAAGTAACTGAAATCTGCCTCAGCGTACTGTGCCATGGTTTTGGGACAGAATACAATCGCAATCGTGGACTTCCTGGAGTCAGTGAAGCATGACCGGGCATGCGCTGTGTGCTACCATGCGTATTTGTGCAAATTTTTGTCGCCGAAAGAAAGGTGGTGTTTGCTGCAAACAGCATGGGACTGTGGCTGTGACTATGGAGGTCAAATCACCACTTCCAAGCAGAAGAAGCAAGATTTCAGCATAGCATGCCTTCATGAAATTGAAGAACTTTCGGCCCCCTTGTCAGATGACAGTCGTTGAGTTGACGTGTTGTCAGTTGTTAGCTGTGAGTTGGTTCTCATCAGTTGTCAGATGGGACAATTCTTTTTAATTTGTGCCTGTGTGTTTTGACACATATTGTAGATGCATCAAAGGGAAAACGAGGCCTCACCAGCTGCAGCTGCAGGATTTGTTTCGTTCAGCATCTAAATGATTTTCTATGCATTACAGCAAATTGGATTGGTCAAGTTTTCTTTTCTTTGTGTCGTTGCTGGAACAGGCGTTTCCTGTGACTT